AGGGGGGAGGGGAGTGGGAAGGATGTAGGATTAGAGGGGAAGGAGAGAGAGTGAGGGGGGGGAGGGAGTGAGGGGAAGGAGAGGGAGTGTGGGGGAGGAGAGGGAGTAAGGGGGGGGGGAGAGGGAGTGAGGGGAAGGAGAGGGAGTGTGGGGGAGGAGAGGGAGTGAGGGGAGGAGGGAGGAGTGGGAAGGGTATGGGGGTAGAGGGGAAGGCGAGGGAGTGAGGGGAGGGGGGAATGACAGGGGGAAGGGAGTGAGGTGGAGGAAAAGTAAGGGGAAAGGGGGTGAGGGGAGAGGGAATGGAGAGGGGTAAGAGGGGAAGCAGAGAGGATAGGAGGAAAGGGAGGGGGTTCAGGGAAAGGACCTGGGGGAAGGGAGTGAGAGGAGAGGAGAGGGGAGTTGGTCAGAGAGAAGGGAGAGGGAGAAAGTAATGGCGTTCGAGGGGAAAGGGAGCTGAGTAGGAGGGGAAGACGAGAGAGGAGAGGTGTGAGGTTGTATGGGAAGCAAAGGGGTAAGGGAGAGGTTAAGAGGAAAGAGAGGGAAGAGGGGAAAGTGAGAGGAATGGAGTGGGATTAGAGGGGAAAGCGAGAGGAGGGGGAAGTTGAGAGAGGGGGAAAGGTGTGGGGTTAAGAGGGAAGGGAAGTGGAAAGTGAGTATGGTTAGAGGGGAAGGGGGAGGGGAGAAGAGGAGAGTGGGGTTAGAGGAAAAGAAGGAAGGGGGATAGAAAAAAGAGAATAGAGTGAAAACAGGAGAACGAGAGGTGAAAGAAAATGGAAACAGATTAAGGATGCATGGGGAGGAGGGGGAGGGGGAGGAGGAGGAGGAGGAGTAGGAGGAGGAGAAGGAGGAGGAAAGATGGAGGGAACTGGGCTGGGGGCACGATGAAAGAGGAGTAAGGATAAAGGAAAGGAGAGAGAGAAATAGGGATAGGGGAAAAAGAGGAAAGTGAGGGTAGAGGGAAGAAGAGGAGATAAAGCTTAGAATAAAGAATAATGTGAGAGAGAGAACGAGGGAATAGGAACTAATGCGAGAGGAGGGAAGAATGGAACTGAAGGAGAAGTGATAAAGTGATAAATGCACTTCTGATAAAGACCTTGAGATATAGAAATGCTCGGTATCAGGACGCGATGAATACGTAATATGCAAATTATGACACCCTTTCTGCAAAATATAAGACGCGTGTCATGCGAGTCGGAGATGAACCCTTGCCTGATGGAAGTGTCACGGGAAGTCATGTCATTGTCGAGAGAGTAAAGGCATACAATTTATGTGAGAGGAACGGCAGGGGAGAGAGAGAGAGAGAGAGAGAGAGAGAGAGAGAGAGAGAGAGAGAGAGAGAGAGAGAGAGAGAGAGAGAGAGAAGAGAGAGAGAGAGAGAGAGAGAGAGAGAGAGAGAGAGAAAGAGAGAGAGAGAAGGGGGGTGTAAGATATGAAGAGAAAGCGAAAATGAGGACAGCGAGAGAGAGAGAGAGAGAGAGAGAGAGAGAAAGAGAGAGAGAGAAAGAGAGAGAGAGAGAGAGAGAGAGAGAGAGAGAGGAGAGAGAGAGAGAGAAAGAGAGAGAGAGAGAGAGAGAGAGAGAGAGAGAGAGAGAGAGAGAGAGAGAGAGAGAGAGAGAGAGAGAAGGGGGGTGTAAGATATGAAGAGAAAGCGAAAATGAGGACAGCGAGAGAGAGAGAGAGAGAGAGAGAGAGAGAGAGAGAGAGAGAGAGAGAAGAGAGAGAGAGAGAGAGAGAGAGAGAGAGAGAGAGAGAGAGAGAGAGAAGAGAGAGAGAGAGAGAGAGAGAGAGAGAGAGAGAGAGAGAGAGAGAGAGAGAGAGAGAGAGAGAGAGAGAGAGAGACAGACAGAGAGACAGAGAGACAGAGAGAGACAGAGAGACAGAGATAGAGACAGAGAATAAAAGAAGTTATGCCACACCATCTCAACATACAAACGTCTTTTACATTTTTTTCCTAGAAGCAGCTAAGGCATTGTGCTTTCATACAATAGCCCTGAAGTCGTTTTGTGTTTTTGTCTTTTATGTTAACTTTGATTTGCGATTCCGAGTCTCTTTTAAGCTCCTTTTAACGGTTTTCTGTTTTGGCTTTATACATATATATATATATATATATATATATATATATATATATATATATATATATATATATATATATATATATATATATATACATACACACACACACTTTTTTTTTTTTTTTTTTTTTTTACCTTTTTTTCTTTTTTTTTTATGATTTTATTTTACTGACAAAACTAAAACACTAAAAACTAAACTCTCAAGACCGAGGGTGACCTGACCCGCGGCTCCGTCGGACCGCCCTCGGCGCGGCGACCCGCCACTCGCCCCGCGCGGAGGAGCGGCGGCCGTGCCTCCGTCACCTCGCGCGTGCCCGGGCAGGAAGGGCATCAGGGCGCAGTCCACACAAGGTCAGTAGGCACGCCGCCTCAGGGCAGCATCAACCTGACGGCGGCGCCTTTGCCTCCTGTCGAGTGCCTGTCCTCCG